TTGAAGTATAAAAAGTGAGTCACAGAATTAAGAAAGCACATTATTTGTGTGTGTGTGTGTGTGTGTGTTGTGTTTGTTAACTGTCTACCACCCCAGACTGTGAGCTCTAAGAGGACCAAGGGTGGGTTTGCTACTTGCTCAGCCCATGATGAGCATTTAGTAGTGGTTATAAGCACAAGAATGAACAAAAGGACAAAGCTAGGGTGAGGGTGGGCAGACCTGAGCTTGACCTTCCTGTTTCTTACAGAGCAAGGATGGTGAGATCAAGAAGGCTGGCTCAGATGGTAAGCAGAACCCGGGACTAGGGCAGTACATTTTCAGGGAGGGGGATGTCCTTGTCCTTAAGATAGTCCAGGGCACTTGCCATCCTGGCGGCAGGGGCAGGGGAGGAGGAGAGGCCAGGTTTTTCTCCCCATCATCCCCAAGGTCTGGTGTCTGAGCCCCTAGCTCTGCCTTGCAGGTGACATTATGGACAGTTCCACAGAAGCCCCTCCCATCTCAATCAAGTCCCGCACCCACTCCGTATCTGCTGGTAAGCAAGAGCTGACGTGTGTGTTGAAGGAAAGACAGGAGGGGTTCAGCCCGCTGGTCAGGCTCACCTCCAGTATCTGCACTGACACCCTTTTCCCTGCAGACCCCTCGTGCAGACCTGGGCCAGGGGGCCAGGGGCCTGAGTCCACCACCTGGAAGACATTGGGACAGCAGCTGAATGCAGAGCTCAGGGGCCGTGGCTGGGGCCAACAGGATGGCCCAGGCCCCCCCTCCCCTTGTCCTAGCCCAAGCCCCAGAAAAACCAGCCCCTCTCCAGACAGCCTGGGCCTCCCAGAGGATCCTTGCTTGGGCCCCAGGAATGAAGGTAAGTAGGTACCCTAGTCCCCCCTAATTCTGGGCTGGGGACTGGAAAAGTCGTTGCTGGGAACTCAGCTCCTCTGGGGACCCTGAAGGTGGGAGGCAAGAGCTGGAGTGGGGGGCCGCTGTTGGGACCATACCCTGACACCCTGGCCTCCCCCAGATGGCCAGCTGAGGCTGAGGCCTCTCTCAGCAGGGCGACGAGCAGTGTCTGTGCATGAGGACCAGCTCCAGGCCCCTATTGGTGAGGGGAAACACCTCCACGTGTGCTTGAGTGAAGGAGGAGATGGGGGAGGGTGGGCTACAGGCCTCCCGGTATGGCTCTGGTCCTTGGAGGGACACACCAGTGGTGTGAGGGGTGGCAAAATCAGGGGGCCAGAAGGCCAGAAGCAAGGGTCTGACAAGCCCTTTCTCCACGTCCAGAAGAACCACGTCTGTCAGGCACGGGAGGATGCAGGGGCAGGGGAAGCTCATAAGGCAAGCGTGTGTACACATATGCACATGCTGGAGGTTGTTGGGGGGGGGGCACAGGGACAGGCAGCAAGACCTCAGCAACCCGCTCCAAGTCTTCCTGTGTCCCTCAGATCGGCCCCTGCGGCTGCAGCGCTCCCCTGTACTGAAGCGCAGGCCAAAGCTTGAGGCGCCCCCGTCTCCAAGCCTAGGTAAGTGAGGCTGGGGCCAGGAGGAAGGGTGGCAGGACTGCTCAGTCTAGTCCTGACCCTTCCTCTCTTTCCCTCTCCCTTCGCAGGATCTGGCCTTAGAGCTGAACCTCTGTCCCCACAGCCTACAGAGACCTCCAACCCTGAGTGGAGCCCACCCTCCCCAACCACAGACCAAAGAGGCAGCGGCCACAGCCCCTGACCTTCTCCTTTCCTGACGCATGAGATTATTTTATTAAAAAATTCAAAGGAAGCAGAGTGTGGAGCACTGTTTGTCCACCCACAGGCATGGACTTGTGTGCACACATCCTGTCATGTGTTTGCATAACCCCTCACACCTGGGTTAGCTCAGATTCTGGTTGTGGTTCCATCAGAAAGTACAAGGCCCAAGCCACAAGTTGAGGAGGGAGCCTGGGAAGAGAACCATGGCTGTAGGTCAGTGGAGACTGGGACTGGTGACCAAGAGAATAGGGACAGCCCCAGGTACTCACCTGGCAGCCTGGACCTGGGCACAGAGGGAGGTGCAGGGTGGCTCGTACTCATATTGGAAGGCGGAACCATCACGATGCCTCTTTGGAGGGTCCTAAAGGGGGTGTGATATCTGAAAAGGGCCAGCAAGGACCCCTAACTCCACGTAAGCCCCAGTCCTCTCCCAGTTCTACCCAAGGCCCACCCCCGATTCCACCTTCAAGATTTAACGGACTATGCTCACCCAGACAGGGCTGGACTCCAGGGCTCCCTTGATGGTTCTTGTCCTTCGAGAGCGCTGCCAGTTCTTGGGGTGCAACCCTAGCTCCTTGAACTCAAGGCTAGGTTTCTGGGCCCTGGTCACATGGGCCTGGTGTGGACTGGGGCCAGGGTCAAGGGGTGAAAGACTTGGGGTGCAGCTCAAGAGTGGGGAGTTGTGTACACAGCTAGGGTGTGGAGAACTGGAGGGCAGGGGACCAGGGGTTAAGCAGACAGCTGGTAGGGGCTGGGAGCTGCCCTGCTGCACTGGGTCTACAGCAGCCAAGGACAGGGCAGGCAGAAGGCTGACACTGGTACTGTTTTCCTCTGATGACATGTGGCTGGGTAAGGCAGGGCTTCCTGGGGAGGAGGGAGACTGCCTGTGGGCACAGCCCTCCCAGCTCAGATCAGCTGAGTGGCCCATGAGCTCAGGCAGGCCTGCAGGGACTGTTCACTCCCCACCTGGCTCTGTACCCTTTCCCAGCAGTCTGCACAGCCCGGGCACCTGACTGATAGACAGCAGTGAATGCCTGTGCCCTGAGCAACACCTTACCTGAGGAACTGGGTGAAGAAGAAGAAGAGATCAGGGTCAGTGATAGTTCCTGTAGAGCCGGGTCTGGTGGGGGCAACTCAAGGCCTGGGGGGTCATGGGAGGCTTATCAGCACTGTGGGCACTGGGCTTCCAGCTATTCCCCTTCTCCAGTCCTTCTTACCCTGTGTCTTCTGACCTGGATGCAAAGAGCTCAGGATTCGCTGGTCATTCTCAGAGATATGAAGCCATAGGCTGGGGACAGTGTACACAACTTCTCCCTGTGGGACATGAATTCTCAGCCTAGCCTTCACCCAGCTCCTCACCCTGACATTTCTTAAGGGAAGCCCCACACTGACCATGGCCCTGTGGCATGAGGCAGCCCAGCGGGTGAGAGGGGATGCAGTGCAAGGGCCTGCCAGCATCAGACAGCTCTCAGCCAGGTGCACTAGTGCCCCCCAATGCTCCTGGTCCTCCTCTACTTCATCCAGAAGTTGAGACAGTGAAAGGCCTAGGGGACAGGGTACCAGGGGATGGGTCAAAGCTCCAAGAAGAGGAACGGAAGGGTGGGTGGGGAAGAGGGCTCATTAAGGAAGCAGGAGGTGATGGCTGGGCAGGTCACTCTACAGGGAGTTAGGGTCACTGGGCCAACCCCTACAAGTACCTGTATTGGAGGAGGTGGACTCTGAAAGGTGCTCCCTATAGAAACAGAAGGGACAATCCTGAGGAACAATCCTGAGGCCTACCTGCATAGATTTGTCATGCCCTGACCGAGCCACACTTGGCCCCAGGGTCCAACCCCAGACTCACTCCAGGCATTCATGGAGCTTTTTCTGCACATCCGGATCCTGGTTGCTGGGAAAGAGGAGGATGGTTACTCGGGCCCAAGCCCTCCCATCCAAACCACCCAAAGGCCTATGGCAACACCATCCATGCCTGTCTAGGGTGGAGGGTAGAGGTATCACTTACCAACCAATGACCCGTTCCCGAGGCTGCTCCGTGGGCAGCAAGCTGAAGCCGTCCACCTGGAGGAAGAACTCCGCCGGCTGGAGGGGTGAGATCAGAGACAGGTCTCAAGAGTTGTCACAAAAAGTCACACCCAGTAACCCGCCCAAGCCAGCCTCACCACTCACCGCGCCGCGCTCAGCAACTTGGACGCGGACTTCGCAGTCCTGCAGCAGGAGCAGCCGGCCTTCTGCTCCTCGGAAGCCGAATTCCTTCTCCTCCCTGAGGCGAGCGCGACCCTCACTGCCCAGCCCTCCTGAACACAGCCTCGCCCATCTGCAGGCCCGCCCACCTGGGACTCAAGCCCCGGGCTCTCCCGCCAGACTCGGCTCTCCCAGGCCTCGCGGCCTCTCTCTCACCAATCTGAGGCGTTCAGGGTCTCCCGAGTCACCAGGCATCGGACACTGTGGGTCCCGTCGGACACTAGCAGCGTAGTCCCGACGTCAGATGTGTCAGGGGCGCGGGACGGGCCCGGGGCCTCCGCCTCCTCCAGTACCTGACGGCGTCGACCAGCGTCAATCCCTACGCCCCAGGGCCCCGCCCTGGTCTCGGACCCTAGCGACGGATGGCAGACTCACCTCAAGCAGCTGCACCGCCCGCGGACTTGAGAGTGCCTCTGACCCCAGGATCAGCCTTCGAATCCAGGGCCGCAGGACCAAGCTCCCCGGCCCTGCCATTCCGCGGCAACACCAAGCGAAGCACCACCCACCTTAGTTTCCTGTGGTTGCCGCGATCCCGCCTCTCCTCGGAAGAGGAAGCGCCCGACAGAAGGTGGCTTGAAGTCGAGGCCCCGCCCGTGTGCGTGCCAGCGCGTGCGCACAAGCGCGCCCTGCTGGAGGTAGTGTGTGCAGTCTCCAGTTGGGTAGACTGGGCGCTCTCCTGCTTGTGGTTATCCGGGCATTTTTTTCTAGCGTTTGGGCTATTCGCACCGGGCAGGAAGGGGCCCAGGACTGGCTCGGATGAAGAGGATGGAATCTGAGGCCTGAAACTGCGCCAACAGTAGTACGAGCAAGTTGGCTTGGAGCCACTTCAAAGCCGTGTGACCCTGACGGGTTCAGCAAATATTTAGTACGACTCAGTTTGTCTAAAAAAATGTGTCTTGTTAAGGCCAGTGGAAATAACGGCACACAGCACTCAATAAAAGTCACTTCCCTCCCTCTCCGCTCTATTTGGCGGAGCCTGTGCCTCAGACTCCAGGAACGCGCGGACAGTAGCGTAATGACGTAAGAGCACGCGGGGACATCTCCACCCCTGTCTCCGTTTCCTTGGAAACGTGGATTCAGCGTTCTACTCTCCGTCGCTGCCCTCTTGACGTCATGATCCGGATGGGAGGGCGGGGCAAATGCTACCGCCAGGGGCGGGGCGGCGCGAGCCGGCCGGCCGGGCTGTGCACCTGCATCCTGGCGGGTAGCCTGGGACACCGTCCCCGGCCCGCCCGGCCCAGCCATGGCCAGGCAACAGAGAACTCCGGCGCGCAGTCCTGACAGCATCGTCGAGGTGAAGAGCAAAGTAAGGGCCCCTCCGACCTCGGTCCTAGACTTTCCCAATTCCCTCATTCTTCCCTTTCTGGCTCCTTGGTCCCCACCACCTTTTTCTCTCCTCCATCCTCTACGTCCCCTTCTCCAGTATTTCTATTCAATTTCCGCCATCCATGCTCCTTCCTTCCACTGCTCGCCTCTGCAGCCCCTCTGTGGTCTGCGTACCTGGAGGGTGGGGACAAGACCTTGGACAGCGTCTCTTGTGCTGTAGCTTAGGTCTGGGCGCAAGGCTTCCTCGGCTGCCGCAGCCCTAGCTTCCCTACCCCTGCCATCTTCGGACCTATGGTGATAAAGGGCAGGGGTTCTGTCCTGACCCCCCCTCTCCTCCCACCCCTTGCCTCCAGTTTGACGCCGAGTTCCGACGCTTCGCGTTGCCCCGCGCTTCGGTGAGTGGCTTCCAAGAGTTCTCGCGGTTGCTGCGTGCCGTGCACCAGATCCCGGGCCTGGATGTGCTGCTTGGCTATACAGATGCCCACGGAGACCTACTGCCCCTCACTAACGATGACAGCCTGCATCGGGCCCTGGCCAGTGGGCCCCCGCCACTACGCCTGCTAGTGCAGAAGCGGGGTGAGGAGGATGGGGTACAGCGGGCAGCCCCTTGTGGGGTAGGGTAACAGGGCAGGTCTACAAAGGTTAGTCCATGCCCAGGGCACCTAGCCTTCACCCTCTACAGTCCCTGTCCTTGGCCTGACCTCCAGGTGGTAGGAAATAGCTACAGTGTCCCCTTCCCCTGTACAAGTGGGAGAGCAGGGTCTCTGATCTCAGCGCCCCCCTCTCCTGTAGCAGAAGCTGACTCCAGCGGCCTGGCCTTTGCCTCCAACTCTCTGCAGCGACGCAAGAAAGGGCTTCTACTTCGGCCAGTGGCACCCCTGCGTACCCGGCCACCCCTGCTAATCAGCCTGCCCCAAGATTTCCGCCAGGTTTCTTCAGTCATAGATGTGGACCTACTGCCTGAGACCCACCGAAGGGTACGGTTGCACAAGCATGGTTCTGACCGCCCCCTGGGTTTCTACATCCGAGATGGCATGAGCGTGCGTGTAGCTCCTCAGGGCCTGGAACGTGTTCCAGGCATCTTCATCTCCCGCCTGGTACGAGGGGGCCTGGCTGAGAGTACAGGGTTGCTAGCAGTCAGTGATGAGATCCTCGAGGTCAATGGCATTGAGGTGGCTGGGAAGACCTTGGACCAAGTGACAGACATGATGGTTGCCAACAGCCACAACCTCATTGTCACTGTTAAGCCAGCCAATCAGCGCAATAATGTGGTACGTGGGGCATCTGGGCGTCTGACAGGGCCTCCCTCTGCTGGGCCTGGACCTGTTGAGCCTGATAGTGATGATGACAGCAGTGATCTGGTCATGGAGAACCGCCAGCCTCCCTGTTCCAATGGGCTGTCTCAGGGGCATCCATGCTGGGACCTGCACCCAGGCCACCTACTCCCTGGTGCCCGTAGCTCTCTGCCTTCCCTGGATGATCAGGAGCAGGCCAGCTCTGGCTGGGGGAGTAGCATGAGAGGAGATGGTAGTGGCTTCAGCCTCTGACAGACAAGGATGAGAATGCAGCCCCTTGCCACTCAAGGCTGCTGGGACATGGCAGGGACTTCCCAGTGGAGGTTTTTAACTTGGTCACAGGGCCCTGGCGGTCTGGGGAACATTAAAGGTTTTCTACAAATGCAGTCATGGTCTTTCTGTGTCCCAGCTCTAGACACCTCCCTGATCCCACAATCTTGCCTTCTGCCCTAGACATGAGGCAGGAGTGATAAGGGCAGCAGAAAGTCCTTCTGGCAGTTGAGCAGCAGGCGGGCCTCCACATTTGGCATTTCTAGGGTGAGAAAAGCTCTTATGGAAACAAATCCCACTATACAAAAGGTTTAATTTTGACAATGGAGTTAAGAGGCTGTGATGGCCCTTTCACAGCCACCAGTGGCTGGGCAGAGTGCTCTGGGGATACTGCTCACCCACTGCTCCTGTCTTCGGACTCCACTCTATCATGAGGCCAGACCCTGTCCTTTGCAGCCATGTGGTGATCCTCCATGAGGACCCTCACCACTACCCCCATAAAAAGGGCTCAGGCATCCATCTTCACGAAGACCTTGGGGCGGGAAAAGATCTTGATGGCCTCTTCTACTTGCATCAGCTTCTGGTCCAGCTCAGCACGGTGGCCCTGGGCCCTCAGTGAGTTGGCCCCAGCAGGCAGCAGCACCAGTTCACGCAGCAGTTGGCTCTGGCCTACAGGGGGCCCAGGAACAGTGAGTGCCGAGTAGGGGTGTGTGGTCCCCTGGGTCCCTCTTGCCCACTACTCACTCTGGAGCAGATTGTTCAGTGTCTCCAGCCTCTGGTTCTCAGGCATGCGAGTGTGGCCAGGTGGTACAGCAGGGTCTGGCTGGCCATGCTGGCGGGCCTCAGCCTCCCGCCGCCACAAATCCCTGCGCTCCAACAAGCTGCAGATGCATAGGCTCAGGGTGATGATCTCAGGGCAGATGTAGCTCCCACCCTCCATAGGCACCCCTCACCCTGGGTGTTGGACAGTGAGACCTACTAATGGGGCACATGGCCCTTCTGTGTGGCATTGTAGTGCTCCTGGGCTTGCTGTTTCTGCTCAAGCACCTGTGCCAGGACCTGCAGCGAACGGGAATGCCTCCGCGGGGCCCTCTTGGCATAGCGGGCATTGTGGCTAATGAAGTCCACACCTAGGCTTGGCCCCTGCAGGACATGGCAAGCGTGACAGGGCAGAGAGCACTGTGTTGTGCCCATGAAGTCCCCCCCAGGACCCTGCCCCAGCCCCTACATACCCTCTCACCTTAGCATTTGGACCTGGTAGGGTTAGCTGGGTATTGGAGACACGGGGTGGTGGAAGCCCAGGGCCACAGCGGGAGTGTGCCCGTAGGAAGTGGGCAGGCTCTGTTCCAGAGGCAGGGCTGGGCTCCTGGGGGGTAGGGCATAGCAGAACGATCACTCAGGCTGAGGTCAGTGTCTCAAGCCATAAGACTTGAGCCTCTGACTCTCCTGCCTCAGGATCTTATCCCTAGGGCCTCCTCCCTCTTGAAGGGAGACTTCTCATCAGCATTGAAACACATGTATTTTTCCCATCTTTAAGAAAACAACAACAAATAGATCCACCCTCTCCTCAGTACTGGCTCCAGCTGCCGTTCTCTTTTTCTTTCCTTCCTAGCCAAGCTTCCTGGCTCTGTCCCCACCAAGGTCATTGATGGCTGGCCTCCAAACCTTCAAACCCAGGGTTACTTCCCTAGTCTTTGTCCTCAACCTGATCCTCAGTAACTCCTGGGTCTCACTTCTGAGATCCAGACCGACTTTCCATCTGCTTCCTGGACACACTCCCACCCCCTGGGAGTCCCACAAATGCTTCATCTTCATCATCCACATATGACCTTGTTTTCTTTTCTCTCAATCCTGCTTCTCCTTCTGAGGCCCCTGGACAAAGAAATGGTGCTACTATCTATCCTGCCCCTGCTCTTCCTACTGCCCTTAAATAAAGGTTGAAAAGTGGTTTATGTGACCTTTTATGATGTGGGTCCAGTTGACTTCTTAACCTAACCTAGTGCTCTTCTTCTGTCACAGTGAGTTGTCAGCAGCATCCCCACTGCCCACACACCCTCTGGTCTTAGGACTTTTATGTGTGAGGTTCTACATTCTATAGAATGTTCTCTTCCATTCTCCCCTAATTCATACTTGTCCCTCAGGATCACCCAGCTATCACCACTTCTGAGAAAGCCTCCAACCCCACCCTGCAGCAGAACCAGCTACCTCTTAGTCCCCTGTGATTTTTCCTCCTTCCCCATAATTCAGATTAGGGTATAATTGCCTGTTGGCCGACAAGATGGATCCCTGAGGCAAGTACCTGCAGCTGGGCCTTGACCCGGGACTCCACTTTGTCATACTTGGGTGAGCGCCAGAGAGCTTTCAGAGGCCTGGGCTGGCCCTTCTCCCGGGTGTGCTCCTGCTCGCGGAAGCGTCTCTGGATCTCCTTGATTCGCCTCAGGTTCTCCTTCTCATGGTCTTTAGGGTCCTTCCCTGGGGAGAAGATATTGTCAGGCTGTGCCCTACATACGCCCATGCACTTCAGCTCACACCAGTTTACACACAGGCCCACACCCTGCCTCCTGCACTAATATCTCCCCGACCTCTCCATCTAAGTTAGACCCCTGTACACATACTCCACCTCATCACCTTATTTCCTCCCAGACATAGTAATTTTCTTCTATCCCTGATTATTTCCTACATTTTTATTGTGCGGTATACCATTAATCATCTTGTATATCATATTTATCTCACTTGTTTATTGTCTCTCACCTTGACTCGGTGATGGCCCATGCTTGTTTTCAACTTTGTTTTCCTATGGGACCTGGCACACAATAGGCACTCAACAGAGGATGTTTCACTGATGCATGAACTCATGAAGCCGAACTAGGGCTACCCAGAGGAATATCTCATTCAGCCTTCTTGTGTGAGGAGGCAGTGTATTTCCCCCTCCTTTCATAATTGGGGAAACTGATGCTCAGAGAGGTGAAGCCTGAACCCAGGTTGGGGATGAGGAGCAGTCGTTTTTGATCTCAGCTTTTTACTTTATAATCACCCCTGCCCCTTCTGCCAGCAACTTACTCTTGGGAGAGGCCCCTGAACCTAGGCAGATGCCCTCGAGTTGCAGCAGAACGCCCCCGACGCTGCGCCGGCCCCGCTCCAGGATCTCTCGGGCTCCGGGACGGATGCGGGGACCGCGGGGAGGGGTGGTGTCTAGGTCCAGGTCAGAGGTCAGCAGGTCCAGTTTCAGCGCGTTTCCCTCAAGACGCCCTTGGGCTGAGGAGCCGGACGGGGCAGAGTGTGGGGCTCAGTGGTGGACCGGAACCCGACCCTCGCTCGGGCCTCGCCCCGCCGCGGCGGCCCCCAACTCACCCGAGGCCGGCCGCCGGTAGTAATCAGGGCAAAGCGTAGGGTCTGGGGGGATGGGCCCCGAGATGCGAGACGGGCCCTCGCACATGCTGCAGTCGCCGCCCTGCAACGGTGCACCAACGCCTGACGGGTTGCCTGTCTCTTGTCCCGGACCCCGTTTCTCAGCCTGGTGCTTCTTCCTTGGTCCGGGACCCGGATCCTGACCCCGGCCGTGCCTACCATTCCCGGCCGCGCCCCGCCTCAAGACCCCGATTAGCGATCGCCACTTGGCTCCTAGCCACTTCCCTGCACCGTTCAGGACGTTTCCCCCCGCAACACCCGGACGGGGGGACTCACCCTAGTTAGTTTTGCCGCCTGCTGCTGCAACCCGACGGGTTTGCCGTTGCTATGCAACCAGTTTCCGTCCCTGAGGTCAGGGACTAATGCCCCCTGACGCGAAGCCTTCTGGGTCTTGTAGTTCCAGCTGAAGGGGAGCCAGAGAGATCGCCAGTCGTCCTTCCCACCCCCTCCCTCGCCTCCTGGCGGGTCTCTTGGGGAAACGCTGGGTCCACCAGCCCTGCTCCTCGGGCCCACTTCCCCAAGCAACCGTTGAGGATGCGCTGACCCCACGTAGCCATGGCCTCTGCTGGGACAGAGGGGCGGCCAGGGTCCCAGGGCAGAGGATAGCTGTGGAGAAGGCACAGCTGGCAGAGGCCCAGGTGGCCACATTCAGAGCACTGAAGTGACCATTAGGCTGTCTAGCCTTCAGACACAGCACTCTAGAAGGCCAGACTGTGCGAGGATCCCGACTGCCAGGACAGTCTTCAAAGGCCGGGAGGGGCATAGGCTGGTGCCCTACATCTGCATTTGGTATCTAATATCGAGTGTCTTAATGGCTGTTCCCTGTTATTTTTTGCCTGGCTGTGGTGACAGGTCACCTATGTGTCACCTCTAGTGTCCAGTGATGGAAGACCAGTGGCCGGTGCCAGCCCATGAGGCCTGCCAAGGTGAAGACAAGTGTCCAACAGAACCAATCTCAGAGCCAGAGCTCCAGGAAGAACGACTCAAGCTGGAGGAAGAGAGGTTCAAGCAAGAGGAGGCACTAGAAGAGAGAGTCTCCACTGTGAGGCCCAGTCATGGTTCAAAGAGGAAGCTGGTCAGGTGAGGGAGCTTGCAGAGGGAAGGAGCTGCAGGGCCGGGGAGGGAGTCTCACACCCTAGGAAGATTCCTAAATCCTGCTCTCCTGCAGGGTGCACCCTTATCCCTTGCCACCACCATCACCCCTCACCCCTTCTGTCCCTCAAGAGCCCTGGAGTAGAAGCATCCAGAGGGAGAGTCTCAAGGCCATGTAGGGGACACCTCACATCAGCTCATGGCCCTTAGCCAACCAGGGACCTCAGTGATTAGGGAAGGGCCAAGAATCTGAGCTCTGGGTGGTGAGCAGGCAGGGTTTGTCCTTAGACTCACAGCACAGGAGCCAAGGCTGGAGGCTGGCTCCTCAGGCCTCCTGTCCCCCAGCCTACCAGGACCTACCCACCAAGCCCATCCTAGGGCTGAAGCTGAGCTGCCACAGGGGCTGCCACTGCACAGGGAGGAGCCAGAGGGTAGCCAGAGTGAGCCTTCACCAACTGCCAAACAGCACAAGAAAGCCAAAAAGCGCAGGAGTCTGGGGGCCCCAGTGCTCCCAGCTATGGCCGGCACAGTGTCTGCACCCTCAGAGACCTTGCGGCAAGAGCGTGAGTGGCAGCCCCTGGGCCTTTCCTTTTTCCCCTGCCTGCTGGGCCCAGCTCAGTGCTCCAGCCACTGCCCTGTCCTGGGTCCTTGCAGGAAAGGCACAGCGCCTGCGACCCCTGTATCAGTACATCAACTATTGCAATCCTGAGCTGAACCAGGCAGGGGAGGGGGACAGGGAAGCTGAAGCTGTGGTGCAGACTGAGTTGGAGTTGGCTCCGGAGGAGGCAGGCGTGGAGCAACTGCAGGCCTTGCCCCCTATGGCAGGTGAGCTGGGGTCAGGCCTCATTTTGCCCCACTCCAATACATTCATGCCCCGACCTGTGCTCTGGTTCCCTTGGGATGGGAAGCTAGAGAGGAGCCTGGGGGTCTGCCCAATTTAGGGGTCAGCAGCTACCTCAAGGCTGAGGTGGGTAAGTCAACCCAGGTGGACATTGGTAAGATGCTGAGTGCCTGTGCTGCCCCATTTTTACCCCCACTCTCTCCTCAGAACAAGTGACTGTTCCCTCCACACTGGTGGCTCACCTTCTCTCAAGCCTGAACCACAGCAGCAGTCTATGAGCCTAGGCCCCCAGGTAGAGGAGGCAGTTGGGTGACTGTCCCAACTTGGGACCTTGGACTTGATGAAAATAAACATTTTTCTTTTGCTTAATCACTTTGTGATTCTCCAAGTAAGATTCAAAGGGGGAGAGACTGGGAAGAAGGGTGCAGGGTTTGAAGCCTGACCATCATCTGAATCACCCAGGAACGTGACAATAGAGATTCCTGCATCCTGCCCCAAGCCTAATCAGAGCCTGAACAGGCGGCGCCAGGGTCTGTGCATGCAGAGGCTCCTCAGATGAACCCTAAGGGCAGACAGGTAACAGTGCAGATTGAGAGGGAAGTGCTAAGGAGAATCTTGGGGCAGAGAAAGGAAAGGGACTGTCAGGTCATGGGAAACAGGTGCTTGGCCTTGTTCCCTTTCTTCCAGGGAAGAACCCTGAATTTGGTCTGACCTCAAGGGGACCAACAGTTGGGAGCCCCTCTGAGTTGGTAAAGTTCATTTGCCTGTCCCAGAGTGGCAACGTTGGAATACTCTCCACTTATTGCCAGACCACAGCTGGACCAGACTAGGCCTCAAGAGTGGCCCCTGGTGACAGAACCTTCAGTGCCTTTTCCTGGCAGGCAGAAGGTGGTTGTGAGGTGAACGTTCTCCCAGTATCCCTGTGGCCAAGCAACCAGATGACCGTTGCTTCTTACCCCCAGGGCTCTCTGGGAAGAGACCACCAATTTTGGAAACCCTCATATCCTGCTGCCTCCTCATCCACTTGCATTTCCCTCAGACACCTTAAACACCAATTATTCCAAATTCAATGAATAATTTCTCCTCCATCCAACCTGCTTCCTTCTGTATGTCATCTACTTGATTGTTCAAGTCAAAATCCTGGAGGTCACCCCCAAGCCCCATTTCTCTGCTTGTTGTTCTTTGCTGGGTGACTCCTACAAGCTAATCAGGCATCAAGGCTGGTGACTCTACCCTCAGACTGAGAACCTCTTGGACCCTGTGTCAGGACCCTTGCCTGGGACACTGCCATCTCCAGGTGAGAGCTCATTAGTCTCCCTACCTGTGACCCCTTGCCCCAGTGATCCTGTTATACATGCACTGAAACCCTACACAGTGTTGCTCCTTCTTTAGCACCCTGCTTCTCTTGGCCCAGCTGCCTCAACACTTTTCAGTGACTTCCTGAAATTTCCTGACCAGCCACACCTTTTCCTACCTTCACTATCCACACTTTGGGCTCCCTGCCTAAAATGCTTTTATTCTCTCACCCTTCCACCTGGCTAGTGTGCACTTGTACCCTTGAAAACTCAGGGCACCTTGCTTCCTGCTGAGCCAGGCAGCACCAATGTTGCCCTGCACTGTAGCATCTCCACACTGCTGTCATTGTGGGCTAGAACTGTCTTCAGGACTACATCGTGAACTCTCCAAGGGCACGTGTCATTTCATCACAACCACGTAGCCGAGGACCCCCATAAGGCACTAGGATGGGGAACTGAGGAAGCTGCAGAGAGGGGCAGGTCAGATTCTGAAAGGCTGAGGCCATCTAAAGTCCAGGACCATGTGGTGGCCCCGGGAATAATGGCCTGGAAAGACCACTGGAAGGGATGGGGTGGGCGGGCACAAATGGAAGCAGCAGGAAGAAAATGGGCACTGTCCTAGGCCTCCTCTAGGAGTCACTTGGATGCTCATGAGCCTAGATTTGGTTCAGGGTTGGAAAGTAAACAACAGGTATTTTCGAAGTTCTCTCCTGGTTGCTGTTACAGAGGAAAAGCTAATTGCATGTTCATTAGCTTGGAAAAACTACTTGCTTTGACCTGTGGACGTTCCTGAGATTTGAAAAACACATCCTGGAAGGTGATGCTGCCCTCCTCCAGGTGGGGGCGCTGCAGGACAAGCCTGGAACCAGTTGCAGGCTCAGCCCTCTGGGGACCAGACCCTGCTGGTTTCCTGGACTACAAGCAAATGGGCCACTTCAAGGTACATCTCTCCACGATAAACCCAAGAGATATATGAGGGTAAAGGTGTGTGAGGACCATGGACGTAGGCTCTGGGGAGTGCCAACAGAGGACCTGGGACCCCCATAAGAGTTTTTCTGCACCAAACCTACTGCAATGTGCCCCAAGACTTCTGGGAATCCATCTTTGTAAACGGAGGGGTTTGCTGCAGAGCCCTATAAAATCTAAGCAGTGCTATTGTGATTCAACAACATGGCCTTTCTTAAGTAGGAGTATCTGAGTCAGGGACAATGGATGCATGTGCTTTTTTTGGTCAATCCCCAAATTTAGGAGGGATCTCAATATCCTACTAACAGAAGGACTGACCTGGAGCTGAGCAGATCGTCCCCTGGAGGAAGGGGCAGCTTCTCCTTCTGCTCTGATCACTAGAGTCCTACCTGGTGGTGCTCTCTGCAGGCCACCTCCTAGTTCAGACCAGACTGGGATCTTGCTGCAGAGGAGGCAGTAACCCAGATGGGGACAGGGACCTGTGCAGGGAGGAGCAATGCCTGGGTACTCAGAGTGTGAGGATCTGCAAGTGCTGGGGAGAACAGTTCAGGGTCAGACTCTGTAGTCAGACAACCATGACTAGGCTCCTGGCTCTACCACTTGAAAGATAGAAGGCAATAACTTTGCCCTCTCTGCCTCAGTTTTCTGATCTGAGTAAGACTGAGACTATGAAAAGTGCCCCGCAGAATGGTTTGGATATTAAATAAAATGATGTACATGAAGTGTCTGTCCTGGATGTGACAGCACGTAACAAGGACACTCCACTGGCCACTGTTACTTTATCTCACTGTTTCAAACCAGGAAGTACAGGAAAACAGGCCTGGTGACTTCTCTAAGCGGTGCCAGCAGGAAGAGGGGGACCTCCCTGAGCCTTTCTTTTTCTGTCAAGGAGCCCAGGGCAGGGCAGAGGGAAGGCTAGAGAAGGGAAAAGAGTGGTTCGGGCTACTCCTGGCAGACTGGCAGAGGAAACAAAGGGGTGCATGTGTCCTTCCTCCCTCCACCTTGCTTCTGACTGACATGGTTAAAAGGCTATCCCTGTATAGAACACAGTTAATAAAAGCATGGTTGGTTGACTGTCTGGATCAGGAAGCATTTAGCCACACCCACTCCAAGGGGCAGTGCATGGAGCCTTCTTCCTAAAATTCATCCCTGTCCCGCCTCCCTGGGTCCACTCCTCCCCTCCCGTCTCCCAGGGCTCCCCTGGAACCAACTCCATGGCTTCCTGACCTCCTGCCCAGGGAGGCCCCAAATTCTCCCACTACCTCCCAGAAACAGCAGGCCCGACGGGCCCTCAGCAGGAAGCCTTGAGTCCTGTTCTCTGAGGAGACTGCTTTGGAGGGTCCCTGGGATTTGGCCACAAGGGAACAGGCCGGGAGATGGGGCAGGCAGTGGTGGCAGTCTGTGTAGCCCACTGGACAGTGATGGACTTAGAGCAGATCAGAGCAGCTATGAAGCCATGAGTAAAGAGAAAGATCACAGTGACTGTAAATGGGGTATGTGGTGGGGACTTGATGATGAGGGGAATCTAGTAACCATAATGTTGCTCATGTAATTGTAGATTAATGATACCAAACTAAAAAAAAAGAGAGAGAAAAATCAACAATCTACAGCAATAAACCAACCTTTCATTATTAAAGAAACCCAACCTACCAAACAACCAACCCACAACCACATGCCATAGTGTCACTTTCTGATTTATTAATGAACATTTATCAGATATCCAGAGCTCTCCCTTGTCGCCTCTCTGCCAAATCAGGAGCCCTTTGCCCTAGGGTCAACAGCCCCTGAGAGCTCACCTCCTAAAGAAGCCCTCCTCCCTGTCAGCGAAGGGGCAGCCTGGAAGCCAGAAGGGCTTGGGTGCATGGGAGGGAGGGCAGGTGCATATTTCTGAGGGATGATTTGCTATCCTCACCATTCCTGAGATGCCTTAGCCCAGGGAGGGCATGGAAACAAGGCTTCTTGTCATGTCTCCTCAGGCCTGAGAAGTCAGCCAAGCTGGCTCTTTGCTGTGCTTTCTATCCAGTTAGGACCCCAAGTCAAGCTTTTGCTGGCCCTGCTCACCAGCGGCACTATGCAGGCCTGGTGGCAGCTCTGCCCTGAGCACACTGTGCCAGCCCTCTCAGCCATGGCAACAGGAGTATCACCACCCTGCAAATCTGAATAGATAGCGCTGGAGGGGGCGTTTTCTGAGGACCACCTTTGGCTGCACGTGGACCCTGCCAAAATGGACACATTAAATGAATGACACTATCTGTGCTGTAGCCATGCCCTCTTGTCATGGCTCCCTGGTCCCTCCCTGGCCTCTCTGCTCCCTTTGCTCCAAGGCAGGGAGCCCTCAGGAAGGCTCACAGGTTATTCCGCTGCAGTGCCTCACACAGATTCTGGTTGGGGTCAGGTTCCTCTGTCAGCACCTCCACAGCCTCCCACTCCCCAGATCTGCTTGACCTTTTGATAGCGTCCACCACGCTCTGCATGTACAGCCCATCCTCGAATGAGGCGGCCATGGAGACTGGGGTGTGATCCCACGTGCGGCGGTCCCCCTGCCCCTGGAAGGACTGGCGCAAGGCCTGCACCATGTAGACCATGCCCTTCAGATAGAGCAGTGGGACATCCTGGGGCCCCTGCTCAGGCAGCCCAGCACCCACAGCCAGCGAGTCCCTCAGGAGCAGTTCCTCTTGTGTGGCAGAGTTCTTCTGCCCATAAAGGTCAGCTCCCCGGGCAACAAGACGTCCTGCAGAGCCCACCACCATGACTTCATGCACAAAGGAACCTGGCATGTTGAAATTGAGTGTTACTGTGCTGCACACACCCCCACCCATGAGCATCTGGAAGAAACAGAAGTCATCACTGGTGACATGCCGGATGCCATGGATGGCTGCATTCTGCCTCACGAAGGTCTTGAGTAGCCCATGTACCTTCTCGGCTTTCCGGCCAGTCAGGTGGGTCAGCAAGTCCACAATATAGGTGCCCATGGTGTGAAGGCCCCCACCACCCATGAGTTCGTCACAGATCCAGCCATAGTTGGGGCTGAGCAGGCTGCCCGAATAGATGCGGGCATCACAGATCATCACTGCGCCCACGTAGTGCTCCGCAATCAGCTGCTTCATACGCACAAAGGCAGGCAGGAAGCGCAGCACATTCCCCACCAGGCTCATCAGCTGTGGGTAGTAGCGGGAGGCTGTCACCATCCTGAAGGCATCCACCGAGGTTGCTGCCTTCTCACAAACCACATTCTTCCCAATACCTGAGAATAAAATACAACAGGAAATCTCAAAGTCCCAAGGGGCTTACACTGGAGGGAAAACCTCATTTCTGCAAGGCAGATGGACTCAGGAAGGCCTCCTGTAAGACCGGAGGGTGGCCTGGGACGGGGAAAGGTGACTCAGCTTGGATGAAAATGGAACCCACTGACTGGGACTGGAAAAAAGAGTTATGGGCTGGAGACAGAAGTTTAAGCTCTTAAGGGAAAATGAAAGGAACAGAGGCAGAAGGCACAAACCAGTAGTGGGAATAAAGAGAGGGGGTGCAATGGTTAATTTTACGTACCAGCATGGCCAGGATATTGTTGTCCATCAAATTTCAGTCTAGACATTGTTAAGAAGGTATTTTTTAAATGCAATTGACATTTAAACCAGTAGTCTTTGAATAGAACAGATTGCCCCCTACAATTTGAGTGGGCCTCATCTAATCAGTTGAAGGCCTTAGGAAAAAAGACTGAGGTTCCCTGAAGAGGAAGGAATTCTGCCTCC